TTAAGAAAAATTAATCAAGGGTGTTTATCGTAATTAACCAGGGGTGTGAAAATATTTGAGTCATTTTTAAAAGATATATGGTATTCTAGTCATATTCGCATAGTTTCATGGGATTTGAGTAATTTTTTCTTTCAAAAAAAAAGAAAAAACTTATGGTTTTGTGAAGGATGTGGAAATACTACGTCAAGTGTAATTGAATTACGCCATTAAAGGACGGTTGGACCCCACTGTATATTCGGATCGACCCAATTGGATTTTAATTATGTTAGGTCCGAACCCGAAAACGAACAGATTCTTTTCTTTTCAATTGTGAAAAATTAAATAATGTTAAATATTTGGCGTTTAAAACACGTCACCGACCACTCCCGTCTTAGCCATTTTTCTCCCGTTGCCTCTAAAAGGAAACATCAACAACATCGTTCCGATTTATCTCCATTGAAATCAAAATCCAAGCTTTTCTTCTTCCGTACGATATTCCATTATTCCTATTTTCAATCTCTCCTTCCTTTCGATATTCTATTTTGTCTTTGATTCTTTTGTATTCCTTCTTCAACATCTCAAATAAACCCTTTTTTAAATTCAGGTTTCGATTCTTAAAAGACCCAAATTTCGGTTTTTTTTTTCTTTGATTGATTCGATTTCCGGTGATATGAGGATTTATGTGATTTTCCTGGTGCTTTTCTTGTTCTCCTCCGCGTTTTCCGACGAGACTTCCGATTCGTACCTGTTGCCGAGGCCGTTGGTTCTCGAGTACTCGTCGGAAATCGTGACCCGGCCCAAGAAAGCCGATGAGGAAGAGGTCAATTTGCATTGCACGAGCTGGAGATTCGCGGCGGAGACCAACAATCTCGCGCCGTGGAAAACAATTCCGGTGGAATGCGCCGATTACGTCAAGGACTACGTGTTGGGTAAAGGTTACGTCACCGATCTGGAGAGAGTCTCTGAGGAGGCTTCCGTCTTCGCAAGCAGCGTCGAATTCTCCGGCGATGGTAAAGATATTTGGATTTTCGATATCGATGAAACTCTCTTGTCCAATCTTCCCTATTACATTGACCATGGCTTTGGGTACAATCCCTTTCTTTTCAATTTCATTCTCAAACGAAATTAATTTGATGCTTGGGAATTTGATTATATAGCAAAATGTGATTTTGATGATGATGATTGGGAATTGTGCAGGCTTGAGCTTTTTGATCACTCTGAATTCGATAAGTGGGTAGAGAAAGGTGTGGCACCAGCGATAGCACCAAGCTTGAAGCTTTACCAAAGAGTTATAGATTTGGGGTATAAAGTTTTCTTGCTTACAGGGAGGAAAGAGAGCCACAGGCTTATCACTGTTGAAAACCTTATCAATGCTGGTTTCCAGAATTGGGACAAGCTTATTCTCAGGTATAAACCATACTTACTCATACAAACAAATGTAGGTCATGTGATGAGTTTGTTTGTTATGCAATGTATTAATGCTTGTGGAATCATATAGAGGTTTGATCTCTGGAGATAGTTTTAGAAGA